TCGTGAAATGACTCATCCACAAGAATACCTATAGACTTATGTCTAGAAATTTCTTCTAAAGATGTTAGAGATCAGCTGCGCACTAAAGCAAACATTATGAACTGCAAACTTTGACATTGGTTCCGCTGAAGAAATTTAATTCTGGACTTATTTTGGCATAGATAGTAATGTTTTGCACACTTTTCTCAAAGAGTATATTTCGTTTGATACTTGTTGGAATTCTTTGGATAATCTTCTAATTTCTATGTATCGACTCAGCAAATGATAAAAAAACGCTACTACAGCGCACGAAAAACACTTCAGCAAAACCTCAAAACACCACCTCATCCTCTTTCCAACGACTGGAAGAGATTTTCGGTCAACCCTTTGTTGGTGGAAGAATTGCAAAACGTGAAGGTCGGATTTTGCAGAGTATATTGCTCCCTCGATTAGAAAAGTGCGAATTTTGGGAAAAAAACTTCACGTTCGTTTGAACCTTGACATTGAGAATTGTTTGAGTCTTTTTAAACTTTCTAAATTTGACATTTTTCCCTTTTTTTTCTCGAGAAAGAGCATATGTTTTCAGATATCTAAGATACACAGCTCAGCTCTGTTCATCTTTTTTCGACAATTACAAATAGAACGCATCGATCATTGTTAAGTTCGCAGCTGGCCGCGAAGTATAAGCGATGAGCTCTTATGAGTACTGTAATCGATAGCTGTTGGATGAAATGCAGAGAGCAACTATATACTACTGATTGTTTGATGGTCTAGAATTTGTTGCCAGGTAATGAATGAGCCTCAATAAGCTAGCAGCGTTTAGAAGAGGTTTTTACAAAGCTCTTGGTAGTAGGTGCAGCTGTTCAATAGCTGATTTGCCTACGTTTATTTTCAAAAACAGACTCTCTTAGGTTTTTTTTTAAAAGAACGAGTATCAATGTTCTTTGTGAGATAAGAGCCGTCAAATTAAAATCCTGCTTGCTCACTTAAAATGTTTGAGAAAAGCAGTAGTCGAACATCAGATTCCCATCCAAATCGCCCGTACTAAGCAAATATTTCTCTCATCGCACTCATTTCCCCACTAGACGGACACTTGATTTGTGTAAGACACACTCTCTGGAAGAGGTTTGTCCCTCAGTTCTACAACTACAGCTTTTTGTACATAAAAGACCATGTAAAGGAGAAAGTTATAAGTGGGCGAAATAGCGAGCAACTGGTTTGGCACGAAGAACAGTTTTGTGAAAATATTCAATCAATATGTAAATACAAACTAACGATTAATCACCTTAAAATCTCACACCAATTCATAATAGCCAATGAAAAAAAAGCGCAATGAAATTTGAAAGGATTTAGCAAGCAAGTATTGGAACAGAAAGATCTCTCAAAAAGAATTAGCAGCTTTGGAAAGTCGATAGGGAATGGAGTTTCTACAATAGTAGTGAATAGCAAATGTGTAATGAGGAAAAAGTACATATCTAGAAAATTCTCTCTCTCTTGGCTGTGAAAGCTCGTTCACGTGAGTGATAAGCATTGATAGGCAAATTAGCAACTTGCTTAG